TGGGTTTGGGTGCTGGGAGACGAAGGGATCAATCATCAAGTTCTTAACCATGGAGGAGCCTTTTAAAGGACATACTCGCTAACCATGCTTCTATTCACTTTTGAAAATTGCCTAGTTAATTATCTTAAGGGCGTCAGAGGTCTTTGGAATGACAAGTTTGAAAAGCCATCTGATGAGTCTATGCTTATGAAGAAAAAAATAATAATTATAAATTTAAGCACTCAAAGAATTTGAAATCAATGATAAATAGCTAAATAAGATTTTATGTAATAAAAAAATGAATCACATTTTTTTTGTTTCATGCAAAAAGTCTATAAAGGGTTTCCAGTCAGCAATAAATGTAGATATTGTCTTTTTCTGACCAAAGAAGTCAACTTAGCCATCTCAGCAAATTCCATCATCTCCACTAACCATTCTTCCATCGAATCTTTCTATCTTTGTGTATAAAATAATCTTGTTGCAGTTGATATATAATTTTCATGATTTTTTCCAGCTGTATGTCCATCAATTCCCAAAGAAAAACCTCTTTATAGGAAGAAGCGAGCAGTTCTCTGCTTAATTATCAGCAGTTTTATTGTGTACAGTCTCAGTAATAGTCGTAGGAATAGACTTACAGTATATACTGCTTCACAGTGTTTTACATCCCTCTCTAAGCGGTTTAGAGAGTCAGCATATTGGCCCCAATAATCTGGGTCCTCATTTTATCAACCTCGGAAGGATGGAAGGCTGAGTCAACCTTGAGCTGGTCAAGACTGAACTGCTGACAGTTGGCAGAATTAGCCTGCAATACTCATTCTAACCACTGTGCCGCCACAGTTCATGACTTCTTGTTGGAGGCAGGGGGAGAGGACTCATCCCTCCAGAGTAAACCTGGGCATTTATGGCCACCAGGCCACATTTGGCCCTTTGGCTGTCCCTGTCCAGCTTGCATGAGATCAATTGGAAATTACCACACATACAATAAAACTGCATTGCTTTTCTTTTGAAGCCAACAGCTCTTTTTTCCAATTTATATATGTGCCATGAGTGCATGTGTACACCTGTTCACAGTCCTATTGGTCTGGCCCTCCACAAGAGTCCCAGTTTCTCATGTGACCGTTTGGAAAAATTAATTGCTCAGCCCTGCCCCAGAGGCTTTGAAGAAGATAGACACAAGTTACAAGCAATGAATGTGGGTGTGGGTGATTATATATCAGCAAAGTCCAAGGCATTTCAAAACAGAGGAAAGCAACATTACATATCTCCAAGTGTAACAGGCAGCAAGAAAAAAAAATGTTATTTTTAAGACAAAAGGACTTCTAGGAGCAACTGAGGGTGAGAGGGAAATGCAGGCCAGCATATGGTAGGGATCAGTGATTGTATCATTTAATTAGAAACATGCTGAATAAGCAGATAATTGTTTTGAGGTATGCATTTTTTCCTCCATTTTTAATTACTTGATATAATAAAAATGGTCTTACCAGCAGGTGAAATGGCACCTTCTTGTACTCCTCCTCGAAAACCAGGAATAAATTTATGACAAAAGTCAGGAATCATAAACAAAAATCCCTGTAACGGAATGAACGTATAAGCCAATATCTTTACAAGTGAATTAAAGTTGCACAATGGTACAATTGAAGGAAGATAAATTATGGATTGACCATGATAATTATTTTTTCATAACTGACATTTACTCATATCCCAACCTCTCATAATAGTGTAGCTGTTTAAAAATGTAGCTGAAATATATATGGAACTGTGAATATTTTAGTAAAACTCATTTGGGGACATAGAAATTGTAGAAAACATTTAATTTCTAGCTGCCAATACCATGGTCAAATATTCATATAGAAATAATGTAGAAATAACAACTAAAAATTGAAGGTGAGCCTGTGTTAGTTTATTTCAAATCACCATCTAGCTCTGGGTGAGGAACCTATTGCCCTGCAAATATGGTTGGAATAACAACCCCTGGCAATAGGTTTTGGAAGTTCAGTTTCATAACTTCTGGAAGACCACAAGTCTCTCATTTTCTTCTGTCAGTCATAATCTTTTGGAAGTGTTGGAAACATAAAAAAGAGCAAGACAAAAAAATGTCTCAAAAGAAACCAGGGATATTAGTTGTTAGCATTATTCCCAGCAACACCCAAACACAATATTGCTAGTAACCTATATTGCCACATTTTCACATGTAGGGCTCCAATTTTAGAATGCAGTTTTAAAAACAATCTTAATTTTGATCCAAATAACTGGATTCCAACAGAGAAGCTTCATGACACGTACCTGGAATATTACCCAAGAAAAGTAAAGGATTAGAATTTTCCAAGAGAAAGAGGGTGTCTTGTCCCAGATATCTAAGAGGTGAACTTTTCCCGTAAGCAACTGGATGGCTGGCTCACTCAAAGAGCAATGGTACTGATCACATGACATTACAAAATAGTAGACAATAAAGGGACAAGAGAAGAGTAGAAAGATGACACTTATCAAAGAAAACCAATCAGCCTTCCTGAAAAAGACACATAGAGATTGTTACTCCCCCCCAAAAAAGAAACCTCAAAACCTTACTGTCAATGATTGACTCTGAACAGAATTATGATTTGTACAATTTTAGTGTGTTGTTGCCCTTAACAATTACAGTATTTGCTGAAACAAGCCAGTTTCATGAACTACTCTGGATGTGTCAACAGAAAACCAGCATATAAATATTTCAAAGAAGTAAATTTAAATACTCTATGACACCCCTTCCTCCTTTGGATGTTAAACAAATGCCCCTAAAATTCAGCAGTAGCTGCCTATTTTACAGAATACAGTTCTTTATAAGCACAGGTATTTCCCAGCTATAGTCACTACATGGCAGATTTTCTTACCATGCTCTACCCCAACCTCCATGAGAGGCTCCATTTTGATTTATAGCATTTTGACTTTTTCCTCCTTCAAAAAATTGACTGTCTTTATGAGATGCCATTGGAAGCTGCAGAAGAAGAAGTTACACAAATATATGATACCATTCTTGAGTATAAAAGAACCTTTCTTTTGTGAAATGTCATGTCCAATTATGCAATATGCAACTCTACATGATTTTTTTTCATAATTCTGCTTTTAACAACTTTAGGAAAAATAAGGCAAGGTTCATGTGGCATAGCTACGTATGGGAGGAAAAAAACCCCTCAGCTTTTGACTAAACTTTTCTTGCTTACTGACTATTTTTGATACAATTAAGGCTAAAATGAATGATAGTTATAAAATGTGCATTAGAAAAAAAATATATATGTATTTGCATAATGTTTGCATTAATTATATGCAGAACTGTAACTGTTTATTATTGAAGGCATATAATAGACTTTATACATTATTTTTATTTTTTCTGTTGTGTTTTCCACTTATTTTTAAACACTTCTTATGCAGTTTTCTGATAATGTATCTATCTTTGTGTTTTGTTCCTTTCTTTCCGGTTGCTATTTTAAAAGCAATAAAATATATAAAAATATATTAGTAGACAGCTCACAAGCAAACCCAAAACTTAGCAAACAAAAATGGTCTTCAATTTATTGCGTAACATGATATATCCTAAAGATGTACTTGCAGAGCCATCAAGGCCATGCTCTTATCTACCCACATATCTTGGCTAACAAAGGGAATTCATCAAATTTGCAGATGACACTAAGTGGCAAGAATAGCCAACACCCCAGAAGGCAAGCTCGGGATCCGAAAAGAACTTGACAGACTTGAACAATGGGCCCTATCCAACAACATTAAATTTAATGTGGAGAAAAGCAAGGTTTTACACCCAGGCAGGAAAAACCAAAGGTACAAGTACAGATTAGTGAAACCTGGCTCAAAAACAGTAACTGTGAGAGGGACCTTGGAGTCCTAGTGGACAATCACTTAAACATGAACTAGTAGTGTGTGGCAGGCAGCAGCCAAAAAAGCTAATACAATCCTTGGTTGTATAAACAGAGGCACAAAATCAAAATCATGTGAAGTATTAGGTTCGCTTTATAAAGCTTTAGTAAGACCACAGCTGGAATACTGCATCCAGTTTGGGTCACCACATTACAAAACAGATTTTGAGACTTTGGAAAAAGTGCAAAGAAGAGCAACTAAGATGATTAAGCGCCTGGAGACAAAAACATGTGCAGAACGGTTGCAGGAATTGGATATGGCCAGTCTAGAGAAAAGAAGGACTAGGGGTGATATGATAGCAGTATTCCAGTATTTCAGGGACTGCTACAAATGATAAGGCAAATGTTCCTCAAGGGAAAAGGAGGAAATGCAACTGGCTTCATCTGACTTTTCTAATTATGGGTCAGATTTGCTAATCAACTGGGCCCCAAATATGAAGTGACCTTGGCTCAGCTGGTCCCTCATGAAGAGTATTGTTAAATCAAAGCTTTACTACAAAAGGTGCCATTTATAACAAGTGCATGGCTTTACATGTTACATGCATTCATTGATGCAATAATGTTAATGCAAAAATAATGGACATTTGGATTTAATGAATATCTTGCTTCTCCTGAATGGTCCATTAAATAGAGGTTTTACTATATTATAAACTTTGGAAATTGGTATAATTTCAGCATAATTATTTTCTAATTTTTTTTATAATGCAAATGCTGCTCAGATCTGCATTTAAACTGCCCAGAGGTTGCTGGGAAGAGCTACAATCTGTGAGTTAAGAAGGAGGAGGGTGGAGGAGGAAAGTAGTATAACTAAAAATCAAAAGCAGCAGCGCTACAACATTCAGGGCAAGTGAGTCTGAGATTCCTTTCATCTCAGAATGTCTGGCTTAGTTCAGTGCAACA